ATTTGCAAATGAATACATTACCGAAAGATATTAAAAATACAGAAGTTTAAGTTTGTTGGAGAGTTTTGACATATCTTTGTAGTTGTTCTTTTTATCAATTTAATCATTAAAAAATTGTTTAACTTTGGTCAGGAATTTCCACTTGAAATATTACTACCACAGTATACCACATCGCTAAGTTGCCACTCTACAGTTTGAGAATGATGTGAGGGAAAAGAAGTCTGATTGGGCTCTGTGACGCTCTACGGCCATAGGAGAACGGAATCTATGGCTTAAAGGGGATTCCGAACTACTACAAACATGCATGGCACAGCTGGAGCTCGAACTCAAAACCTGTGGTAGAGAACGATATTCACTCTGCCGTTAGGCCCTCGATTTTCTCTATAACTCATAATGACTTCAACCCGAAGTCTGTTTCACCGAGAACCAGAGCGTTAATCACTCAGCCGTCAGGCCCCTTAGTCCTATGTTGTTACTAATCCCCCTGGTACAGGAAAGCCCACACCAGGTCCAGAAGAACCTGTATCGCAGGCGACTGAGCGTGGCTAAATGTAATATACAGTTTTACATTAGCGAGGAACCACGAGGGCTGAATACTGACTAAACTGAAAGACAACGCTCTACAGTCATATTAGATAAGGACCTACGGTTTAAAATGGATTACAACCACTACAAAGATATATGGCACAGCCGGGCTCAAACTCGAAACCTGTGGGACCTAACACGAGGGCTCTAGTATCTCGGCCTTTGATGACATTCCAATTCTTCTCTGGAACCATGGTGAGGCGGAAATGATTCACAGAGCCCTCTGGCTCGTAATGAGTTTTTCTCATATCTTTCATAATTCTAAATCAAAGAATTTTCACTTGAAATATTGCATTGAATAGGTTTGTGTTTTCAAATAATGGTTGCTTTGATCTAGTCCATCACCGTAATATATTCAGCGTTACTCAAGGAGCACTATGGGAAAACCTTCACCTTATTTTGCAGCCACGATATTAATTGATCAGACTCCTGAGACCCAATAATCTGAGGTTTGGTTTGTCGTTCTATGATTATTAGCACAATTTTTAGGCTAATTAGACAGGGACCTATATTTTATACGGGATCGAACCATGGATTTTGAACGTGGTCGAACCCGAAATTTGTGACACCGAGTGCCAGAGCGTTAGTCACTCGGCCACCAGGCCACTTAGTCCTGTTGTCCTTGTTGTTAGTAATCCCCTGGTGCAGGACTGGCAAGTCTACACCAGGTCCAAAAACACCGTCCCAGATGACTGGATCAAGGTTAAGGATAATATGAAGCTTCACTTTAGCGAGGAGCCACGAGGGCTGAAGACTTTCTAAACCTCAAGGCAATACTTTACAATCATATTAAAAGCGGGACCTACGCTTTAAGTGGATTGGTGAACCACTACAAACATCCATGTCACAGCCGGGGAGATTTTTAGAAGGAGGAATTTTAGTGGAATCACCTCGCATTTGAATATCATATGAGAGAAAAACCAGAAAACTCCCACCAGGTTGTCGACTAGCGAGACAAGATGCTGAATATCACTAACATCCTCGATTCTCCTCGTTTTTAAAGCAGTGTCTACAGCAAAGCCCCAGCCTAATGATCACTAGCAGTCAAGTTGCCACTGAGCCATGAGTAATAATCATTACTGTTATAAATAAAAGGGCAATGGCCGAGTGGCAACTCTGGCGCTCGGTACCACAGGTTTCGGGTTCGAGTCCCGGCGGTACCAGGGTTGTTTGTAGTGGTTCGGAATCCACTTTAAAAAGTATGTCCCGGTCTAATAAGATCGCAGAGCGTTGCGGGGCATTGTTACTCCGCGTCCGTATCTTCAAGTGACACGCGCCCCTGGGTAATAAAAAGATATAAGGCATCCACCTGTCTGTGTTTGCCAGCTGCATTAGAAGAAAAAAAAAAATAAATAAAAAAAGATATATATCTGAAGAAGATATATACCTCTTTGTGTGATATAAAACGATATATACTTCCAGAAAGGTATATATCTCTTTTATTTGTGATATATAAAAGATATATTCCTTTTTATGTGATATATAAAAAAATAATACTTCAAGAACGATATATACCTTATTATTGTGATATAAAAAAAATAATACCTCAAGAAATATATATAACTCATTATTGTGATATATAAAAAGATATATATCTCAAGAAATATATATTATATCTAATTTCTGTGATAAATAAAGATATATGTCTCTTTATTGTGATATATAAAAAGAGAATACCTCAAGAAAGATATATACCTCATTATTATAATATATAATATAAAAGATATATATACCCCATTATTGTAAAATTATTTTTACAAACAGATCCTTTATCAATGCTGAATATCCAGTTTTCATCCAAGCACCCCTCTACAGTTTTAATCCCTCAGATCAAAAGCAAACGCGCTTACTAATTCATTACTTCTCTCATGTCTGGTACGGATAATCAGGACGGAACAGATCTATCCAAACAAAACTCCGCATTTCGACGCCATCGATTAAAACACCGAATCTCTATGATTAGCGAGCGAGTTAAATTTTCCATGGGCACACTTTGCAATTCAGATGCACCTACCTCTGGCCTTCCTCCAGATCACACTGGGGTGGGAAGCCCTCGGCAGAACAGTTCATCCAGGCGCTGCTCCCCAGGATGGCAGATGTGTTGACCGGCTCCGATGTCCAGCTTGGTGGAACTGCAAATAAACACACAAAGGACTCAGATTAATGCACAGATTAGAATGCGACTTTGAATTCCGCGATACCGGATTGCAGATTAACTAAGCGAAACGGAATCAATGGATTGCTGGATGATAGATAGTATGCTTGGACCATTTTATGATAGTAAAATCATACTTTATGTTTTAACATATAGGGCGAAACAAATATGCAGTTTCATAATTTTTTATCTGTAAGTGTAACATACGTCATAGAAGAAAGTTTTGTCTCTTTTTTATTGTTGTCAATTCTAAGTCATTTAAAAAAAATACAGAATGATAATATTTGAATCGTTACTTATGCCCCGATGATACGAAAACGTAAAAGTACTTATTTGTACATGGGTGTGTGACTGGATTCAGATATTGTAACTATTGAAGTAACAAAAATTAATTATATCTGACACTCGGTGACACAGGTTTTGGGTCTGAATCCCAGCGGTGCCATGGATATTTGTAGTGGCTCGAATGCACTTTAAAACGTAGGTCCCGATCTAATGATTGTACTACTACACTACACCACATCACTGTGCCTAGAGATGAGTTGCCCCTTTACAGTTTCAGAATGATGTGGGTGAGAAGAAATCTGATTGGGCTCCCGTGATGCTCTAAGGTCACATGAGACCGGAACCTAAGGCTTAAAGTGGATTACGACCCACAACAAACATTCGCCGGGATTCGAACCCGATACCTGTAGTACCGAGGGTTTAATGACAGCAGAGCTTTGGACGTAGAACTAACAAACCTGCCCGTAAACAGAAAAAAAATCATCTCTAGTTTCGAAATCTGCCAATAAGCAGAAAGCCTATGCCCACCTATAGGACTGTTGCGCCACTGATGATGTTGATGATGAAATTAATTACAATCATTTGTTCGACTCTGTGTTTCCCCATGCTGGTTAAGAGCCCACATGTCCTGAACTGTTTATCAATGGGCAATGTAAAATTAACGTCTTCAATGAGAATTTGTTTGGCTAATAGTCACTCATGCTGGAGCTGGGTGCTCCAGGTTTCGGGTTCGAATCCCAGGGAGGCGCTATGAATGTTTGTAGTGTAGTGATTCGGACTTGACTTTAAACAGTAAGTTCCGGTTAATCTGACAGTAGAGCGTTAGGCGTATGGCTGATAGCTCTACTCCATGAAAACAAAGCATCTCCCCTGCCCCGAAATCTGCCATCTGCGCCAGTGAAGAAGAAAAAAAGAAGAAGAGTCAATCATTTGTGTGTGGTATAGAAGAAATGCTGGAAAAATCCTACTAGGCAATCTGAGTGTCAGGGCAATATGTTTATAAACGCTGTCAGAACAATACGATCTGATTATTTAGTTTTATACAAAATTTGAAAAAGCTAAAAAGCATACGAATCTGAATCAACGTGAATGATATTTACACACGCTTATACTGAATTTATGAAGCATAAACATTATAAATTAGAAAAATTTTAAATGTTTTTTGTTTATTGAAATGGCATTAGAGTAAGTTAACTAAAGAGCAAGAGTAAGTTAACTGAAGGATATGAATCTGAATCACCATTAGTGATATATACACCCTTAGTTTACGAATCAGACTAAATTTACGAATCAGAATCATTATAAATAAGAACATTTTAAATGTTTTTGTGATTGGATGACATTTGGAATTTACGTACTTCAATTACAAGTACGTTTTAGATTCAGATAACTAGAGTTCATGAAATACAAATTAAAAAAAAAAAAAAAAAAAAAAAAATTACAGGATCATCTTATTGATTTCATTTCGGAATAAAAAGCAAATGCAAAAAATACGAACATTTTTATAGTTAGAATTGTAGATCTCATGGGCCAAAAAAGAAAAGTTAATATTTAGAAGAAATTATAAAAATTTTTAATATTAAAATGTAAATCATCAATAACAATATAAATTAAAAAAATTATAATAGTCACCAGTTGCAGTGTTTGGGAGTAAATTGAAAAGGGGACCTGAATTTTATTCTGTTGTTGTTGTTTCTTATCCCACTTGGCTGGCCAAGCCCACGAGCCCATACGTACTCATGATTGAAGGGGAAGGAAGCAGCTTCTGTTGTGATGGAGCATCAGTAGGTAGAAGTCTGACTTTTGGCTCCGTGACGCTCTTACAGTCATAGGAGACCGGGACCTATAGCTTAAAGTGGATTCCGGAACCACTACAAACATCCATGGCACCGCCGGGATTCGAACCCGAAACCTGTGGCACCGAGCGCCAGAGCGCTAGACACTCGGCCATTCAGGTCCCAAATTTGTGAATGCCAACGGCACGCGGTGTTCCCAGGTGGGCACTCACCCAAGTACTAACCGCGCCCAATGATGCTTGACTTAGGTGATCTAACGAGAACCGGGCATTTTATTCTACAAACGTCGTACGCCACAGTCTTTCTCTTGCAAACTGACTAGACTAAAGGATAATTCAGAAACAGATAGAGCGAGTCTCTTAAGATAATTAGGGAGTATCTGATAAGAATGTTTAGAATTCCTCGAAAATTGCAAATAAATGCGGGGTAGTTAATCTAAACGTCCTCTCGGGAACTATTACTTATTTTATACTGTCCTATGAGACGATGGTGACATATCTAAATAGTTGTCTCGACCTCAAGTTGTAAAAAATGCCTCGGTTATATCCTTCCTAATTGCAGGTTAATTAATGAAATATATTTGTAAATAGGGTTCTGTATATATAGATATTGTTTGTAAATAACAATTAAAGTGTTCCTATGAATCTGAAAGTGGCCCTTTCTTGAAGCCGTTACAGGTTTAGTATAGACTGAGACGTTACAATCCTCACATCACAAAACCAACATGTTCAAATGGATTTACAGTACAATAGATTGTTTGTTTTGAAAATGTATACATAAATGTTTAAATTCTGTCTGGTATTGTAGAACAACAAATAACATAAGAAAGAAAAAAATTTAGCAAAAAAATTCAACTAGAACTTATAGAAAATCGATGGTGAAATTTTTATTTATGTGCAAGATTATGCAATTCTAGATTGATTAAAAAATTAATTCTGATTAAAAACTTCTGGCTTTTGAAAAAAAAAGCTCAATGTTAGGAAAATGGACTATTCATTATTTTCCATTAATTTGGCTAATATTTATTATGTTTAGTATTAATTAAGAGTCAGTCTTTACAGCTTATCGGAGTACCTTGTGCTCAGGGGGCCTTGAACTCATATCTGGTCAAAATGAGTACATGGTGATAAGTGGGAGAAGCATGGTTATCAAAACACAACAAGTAGTTAACGAAAATGTTCCCAAATTCAAAATAAGAGGAAAATGAATAATATAAAACAGTAAAATAGCAAAATAAAAAGAGATTCCACAGGGAGGATAGGGTAACCGCTGCTAGAAATGATGACGAAAGGACAAGTTCGTCTAGGGAATTTTGTAATTGTAAAAGAACCGCCCTGGGGCATTTAGCATTTTCGGCAGAGTATGGAGGGGTAAAACTAGCAATACCTTGAAGAAAAGAAGCA